TAATTGCCCCCTTTATCTCCTCCAACGTAATTGGGCAATTCATTTTTTCCCTTTGATTATCTGACAATCTAGGAAAGTGTGCCTCCTGTAAGTAATTATCTATTTGTTCATCTTGTATTTTTTCAGAAGCATATAACTTAGAATAAAAATCCAAAAAACTCTTTTTAATCAAGTTTTGTTGAAATGTCATTTTACCATTGTAATCTATTTTCTCTATAATTCTTGATTTCTGCTTCTTTCGTAATTGATAGGCCAACCACCTTCCTGGTTTATTTACTTCATATACCTTAAACTAGTTGCCGTCTGATCTGCTATTAACATGTTAAATTGTTCCCTAAGCACAGTAATGGATACTTTTAAATTATTATCCAGTGGATTCAAAATAAGGGCCTGTTCTTTCAAATTAATCTCTTCCTCCAGCTCTTTACGTTTTTGCGCTTGTTTACGCCTATGAACGTTATTCATATAAATCAAATTTCCTCTCATATATGCTTTACTAGCATCCCAGACCATTGAAATTGAAGTACCTTTGTGCATATTCAACAAAAAAAATTCTTTCAATTGATCTCTACATTTCTGTAAATTTATATCATATCTAAATAAATTTTCATTCAATCTCCAAGTCCTTCTACTCCCTTCTTCAGCACGTAACTCCATCCATACCGGACTATGATCTGACAATGTCCTGGGGAAAATCTTAATATTCTTCACCCTAGAACAAAAATCATTAGTAATTAAAAAAAAGTCAATTCTGGAATAAGATTGGTGCCTGTCCGAAAAAAAAGTAAAATCCCTTTCTTCCATATTTCTCTCTCGCCATATATCTTTTAATTCCAGTTCATCCTTCAAGTCAAAAAAAGTTTTAGGCAATGTTGAGTTAAGCGTTTTTGAAGAACCTTTCTTGTCTTTTCTTGAATCTAAAGCACCATTCCAATCCCCCATCATAATAACTGATTTATAATCCAGTTGGCTTATTTTCCAATATAACAATTTATAGAACTGTTTCTGCTGTTGATTTGGGGCGTATAATCCAATAATAAGACATTTCTTCCCATTCAATAATATTTCAACAAAAACATAGCTTCCTCCTGAATCAGCATCAATCAATTTGGGTTGAAAGTCTTTCCTGATATAAACAACTACTCCACCTCTTTTCTGCGGCGCATGTGCCATAAAATGTATACCCAGCCGTGAGTTAGACAAATATTTTTGATCTTTGGCTGTAATATGAGTTTCTTGTAAACAAACAACATCATTTTTATGTTGTTTCAAATAATAGAATATCTTTTTCCTTTTCTGTGGAGAATTCAAACCATTAACATTCCAAGTCAGGAACCTTGCCATCTTTAGTGGCAGCGAGCCTCTGGAGCGCTCCTTGTAAATCAGCTGTTACTGATTTCTTCGGCCTCGCCCCTCCC